CAGGAATGATGCCGGGAAATTTTTTCGCTGTATTCTTCCCAAATTCAGCATAGTTCCGACCGATAGATCAATTCCAATATTAGGGCCTAATAAATGACTCGACCGATATAATTGAACATGAACTCTTTAATTGAATGGAATAATTGATATGATAAATTAGGTTATAAAAAGGAAGAAAAGGGAAGAAGAAAAAATAAACGAGGAGGGAAATAGGAGGAGATAAAAAATTATAATGAATATGTATGTTGAGTATATCGATATTTGATAAGAGGTTGGACGGACAGATGATTGAATTGAAATGCGTGAATAGCGAGTTGTTAATTCACCTTTTTGGCAGCGCTGTTTGTTCCAACATAATTTTTCATCGGGTCTCGTTGATCTCTGAGGGCAGTCTTTTTCACAAACGGGACATTCGTTTTTCGGTTTGTTCACCTGGAATCAAGAAGACATATATTCACTCTTATTTCTCGTTATAAATGTCGATATAATGCATTAAACATAAGTGTATGTCATTGAATTTTAATAATAATTTGTCAGCAATAATAGAAGTTTAATCATTTAAATGATTTTTCCAGTATAAACATAATTTATTTAATTTCTTTACATAAATTTATCCCGAAAATCCAGAAATTCTACACTCACAAAGTAAAATTTATAAAAATCTCGTTTCTCGAAGATTTTTCTCTCCTAATTACATTAAATTTCCTTATTTCTCTCTATTGTTTCTCTCTTTCTTTCTTCGCAACAAATCCTCGCAAACTCCGTGTAATATGAATTCGTATGCGGACGGCGTAGATTGTCTAGTAGACTCCAATTCGCAAACTCTGTCAATTAATACAACTTCACGAAGTGCAAAGAAAATCGTAAACAAAAACAACACCAAAAAAAAAAAAAAAAATGATAGAAACAATGCAAAACGAGAATAGTGGAAGCGGTAAGAAGGAGAGAGGAGGCGTAACAAGAATAAATAAGAGACGGCTGAATGGCCCTTCGAAGCATGTCATCAGCGAGACGGATCTAATTTATCGGTCTCGATCTAATGCAGCATAAAATCATTATAATCAGTGAGCGACGCCCGTTCGCGCGACGAAACGTATCATTTTCGACGTGTCGCCGGGCCGCTCAGTGAGATTGGGGAAAAGGCGAGAGAATGAAATGTGTGCGATAGGTTGTGAAGAAGGACAAGCCTCGGATTGAGATGGAACTCGATGGTAGGCAGTATCGACTTTTTCACGGCCAATGTCAATAAATACCGGCGATCGTAATAAAATAAAAATAATAATAAAAAGAAGAGGAAGAAAAACTGAAATAAAAATAAAAATAAAAATAAAATCACTACATGGAAGAGAAGGAATTTTGCAGGAACGTCTTGTATATCTTAATTCGCGATTTGACAAATATTCATCCACCCCGCCCCCTCCCTTTTTTTTTTGTTTTTCAAGCGATTACGCGCAATAAATTGATGCGAATAATCATGCCCTTTCATTAATTGAAGTCCTAAGATTTATTTCTCGCTCTTTTTTGATACAATTTATTCGTACGTGCGCGCGTGTATATTAGTTATATTACATACAACTCAAACGAATAAAGTTTTTGTTTCGTGCGAATTCATTAGTCCCATTTTGCCATGTATGCGTACGCTTTGGCTTCGCTACAGCCGTGTTATGTGTATATGTATATGCTCACTTACGAATTTGCTTTTACTTATTCGTTTACTTTTCAGTTGCTCTGGCGGTCTACTCGCTATGGCTCTTTGCTTGTCGTCTATTAATTATCTCTTTGTTCTTCATGTTTGCCATGTTAATTGAAATCGGCCAGGGAGGAAAATTTTTTACTTGGCGTTATTTTATTTTATTATTCCCTTCTATGCCGCACTCGATACTGTATTGCGCCAAACTTCTTTGTCTTTGTCGACTTTTTTCTGTATGCATGTGCGTATACAGATATTGAAGCGTACTGCGACAATCGCTAAATCCCTTTCTGTTTGCTCGTAGGATCGATTAATATTATGTGCGAGTGTTCATTTCTCATGATTGTATTATGTAAATGTTTAATTGATAACGAATACATGCAATTACACTTAAATTAATGACATAGATATTGTATCTTGAACATTAAATATACGGGTGAATAAGAAAACAGTATTATGCTATGTTGTATTGTATATAAATTTTAATATTGCAATACACTGTTCAAAATTAACGGCGAAAAAACAATTTCTCATTTCGTATTAATTTATACTAAAATACGCCACTATTTGTTTGAATTGTTTTAGCACAGCTTATTCATACTCATACATTTTAAATATAAAAATAAAAAGATAAATGTTAAAGGTGTAAGTATTAAAATTGATGATAATTATTAGAAGATAAACGTTGAACCGGTGAGAGAAGAAAAAATTATTACATTAAAATGAAATGCTCCACATACATTAAGCGAATGCTTATACGATACCTACGGCTAGTACACACACACACACGCACGCACGCACGCACGCACACACACACACACACACACACACACACACACACACAAAAAATATACATATGTATACATTATATACATTTTTTATTAAATACAGTTACTTATCGTAATGGAAATATAAGGACGATCAACGAATGTAAAATGCATGAAAACTAGGCTTTGACATTTTCAAACTTCATTTTTCTTCTGTAAACAAGTTACATTGGGCAAAATATAACATGATATTACTGCCTATTTATAGATTAAATTTTTTATCTAAAGGATTTATACATCGAGTAATGGAAAGTCAGCTATCACGGAAGAAATTTAAATTATCAAAATTTTCTAAACTAGGATCAATACTGAATAAATATTTTCACATATAATGATAAAATTACTTTTATTTTAAACGGAAACCTATTTAATTCGACCAACGGGAAAAATAGAGAATAATAAATAAACTAGTTTAGAAATCTGGAGCTGTAATTTACATTTGTAAGATTAATTTTTATTGTTTGCTGAATTCTCTATAGTCTATGTACTTTTATTAGGAAAACGTTGTATTTCAATATATTAAATATATATTGGCAAAAAAATATATTAAACCATTTGCTGTAATGTGTCTGCAAGCTTTTCCTACTGATATTTTATTATATAAACTATGTATGGATTGTTAGAAAATATGTTTCATATCGTATTAGCTAGTTTATTTGAAATGAGTAAGCCTTGACCAGATCGTAGTAACACGTTTTCTTCTTTAGTAGCGAGTAAAGCTGATTTTCATCGGCAATTGATATTTGCTCTTGAAAGTCAATGATTATGATAGTTTTCATAATACTATGTGAAACAATTTAATTAATATTTGCAAGGATAAAAAATCTTGATAGTATTTTTTAATATTATACAATCATTACAAAATTGTTATTTTTATAGATTAATTTTTTTTTTATTAATATATTGTATATATATATATATATATATATATAATTTATAAATCTCATTATCATCCTTGATATCTTGATATTTTACAATAATACAGCTTAACTTTCGAATATTACCAGGACATCGCTATCTCGTTTATTTCCAAACGATTGCAAACTCACTTCTATCGATTCAGCATGCACAAGAAAAATGTTGGAGTATATCCAAGGTTCAAAAATTTTTAAGTACCTTGCATTGAGCTCTATTTACATTGAGGAGCAAACCAAAGTTCATTGAAATTGTTGCCAATATATTTAGAGCCGCGCAAAGGAAATAAACATATTTACGAAACTGTTTATCAAGGCAATATGTTAAATTGTTGGACAACTCGAGTATTTCAAAAAGCGAAACATTTACAATGTTACACGAATTTAATGCGCGTTAATACATGTACACGCGCACATACATTTATATGTTACATTATACCAATGCTTTATTCCATTTGCCATACTAGTTGAATTAGAGCATTATAGGCAAGCATAATAAGATATTCGATATTATTATTCGGCTGTTTTGTCGAGCGATTGTTTATCAAAAATTTAAACAATTCAATTATCAACATATTAATTTGTAACAATGATATATCCCAGATTCTAAGAGGCACGAATATAAATTTCCGTTTTAATATTGCTATTAAATTCTACATTGTTCGGATTTTTATAGAATCTTTATCAGTGGCATCAGTAGTAAATCGGTTAGTATTTTTTACCCATCGGAAAAGATGTATATCATCGAATCACGAAATAGCCTGATATTTTAGGCTTACCACAAGCAAAATGAGTATCAATAATAACATGGATATATGGCTAAAAAGTAATTACTGAATATTAGTTAAGTGTGTTGAGAAGATGGCCCGTATCGCCTGTAAAAAGCCGAAGATACGGGCAAAATTTTTCATCTCAATTTCGGCGGAAAAAAAATAAAAATCGACGTTAAAGATATGATATATTGTAAGAGAACATGAAAAATGTTATTGCACATACAGGAATGAGTGGTGTTGCGTGTGCGAGCGCGCGCGCGCTCCGGAGCAATGCAAGAAAGATACCATCAGCGATAATCAGAATCAAAGGAAAGAATAACGTGTCGTGTGTAAGAGATGAAGGACGGATGAATGAAACTGTTCATTGTGTTACGCGACGTAAAATAATAATCGCAGGGTCGAAGTATCTCTAAAAAAAAAAAAAAAAAGAAAGAAAAAAAGAAAGAAAAAAAGAAAGAAATAAGAAAGAGAGAGAGAGAGAGAGAGAGAGAGAGAGAGAAAATAAAATGAACGAAACAATATAACACGTATGAAATATTAATAAATTAAGAATATTATGTGAGTGAAAAAAATGTTGCAAGTATTCGATTTGTATTAGGAATCTTCGATAGTTTAATGTACGATAAAAGTTACATAAAAGAGAGGAGATAAAAAGCCACATGCGGACGATAAATTTTTCTACAAGGACAATGATATTTATGTTAGAAACTTTTATTGAATAGTCTTTTTTTTCTTTTCTTTTTCTTTTTATTTTCTTTAAGGCTATATAACATGAATTACTACAAATTGTTTATGTTTTCGATGTTATGCTAAAACAATCTTAAATTTCATCAGTCTGCGAGTAATTTTAGTAGTCTACCTATTATCGCCCGACATTCTCGTTTCAATATCTTTAATAACTTATCGCCTGAAATATCAATGAGCTAAAAACATATGTAAAATGGCTGTAGTTGCGATGTAGTTGTAAGATCGATCAACATTCTTAACTTTATTAAAATTATGAGCGTCATGCGCATTATCAGTGAACTGTCCAAGTGTCAATTACCGATGCTCTGTTACATGAAAAATAAACATAAATAATAAGGGCTGAAGTGTATAAAATCGATCGCCAAAACTCTGATACCACAGCCTTTGCAATTCAGACGAAAATTCCTCGAGCTTTATACGTGCATTACGATTACAATTTTACGAGCTTTAGTTTACAATTAAAATATTGGATGAAAGGGAA